CACAGTCATGAAGTGGTGTTATAAAAAGGCTATGTTTAGTTAGCATAGTTGAAAAAAGCTGCATCTCCATTTTTCATTTTAGTGGGATTTTGTGTGTCTAGCAAGCAAACAGTAGAGGATCTAAAGGTTTGTGAAGGAACATACAGCAACAGGGTATCTGTCATGTCAGCCACTTGTTGACAGCTTTGTATACAAAAAGGACTAAAACATGAGAAAAAGGCAACGCAGTAACAAAATCTTGCTTGTGTCAAACTAAGACTGCCTAGTTTGACAGTTTGATCTGAGTTTTGTGCACTGCTCTGGACACTCACTGAGAATGACCTGTCAATCATAAGGTAGCCACTCCCAAAGCCAATAGCGGCTTTATTGTCTATTTTACTTTGAAATGGACCATTATTTACAAAATGAACGTTATAATGTAATGAAGAAGACGTGGAACTAATGATTGAGACCATAAACTAGTTAGGAAACTGTTTACTGTGCTCATAAATGAAGTGAGAAGTTGGCTCATTCTGTGCTATCATTCTATTATTTTTGGTTTTGGGTCCAACTAATAGAATTTCTGTCTTATCCTGATTTAGTTTTAGAAAGTTATTATTCATCCATTTGTTTATTGCAGACAGGCAGGCAGTGAGCGAGCTCCTGTCGAGAGATATGTACAACTGTGTATCATCAGTGTAGCTATGGAAGCTAACGTTATGTTTCCTATATCACCTAACAGGAGCATCTATAGCGAGAACAACAGAGGGGCAGCAGCTCCCTTGTGCAACACCAGAGGTAATGTTCTGTTCCTATGATGAAACATAAAATCTTCTTCCTATATCTTCAGAGCCAACTTAGAACATAACCGGAGAGGCCATCCCACTTTTCAAGGCAGTTTAGGAGAATTTCATGGTTTACTTAGTCAGCTTAAATTGTCAGACATATGTTATCTGCAGTTTGTCATTATCACCAGAGGTGGATAACTATGTAGCAGTCACAAATAAATGTCAATCTGAATGTGATTATATTTTAAAACTAAAAGAAATTCCACTAATGTAATATCTTACTAAGGGTCTTAGCTAAAAAAAGATATATATGTTGAATATTTAAACATATCTTTTTTAATACTTTTTTAATAATTTATAGAAATTAATTTGGATTTAAATCAAAATCACAATAATGGTGGGTATCAAACTCTTCAAATATCCAGAGAGGCAGTTGGTAACATTATTGTAGCAAAACTATTTACAAATGTGAATGGAGAGTTGTGTAGTAACAAAATTAAGCACCAAATGCCCTCAACAGGTATCACTGTCTCTCCAAATTCAGGAATGTTAACAAATGTAAAATCAGATATACTCTTAGACTGTTTTTCTGCTATCAATCTGAATCAATTAACTTCAATCATTTCTTCATCGAAGCCATCAACCTGTCTCTTAGACCCCGTCTCAAATAGGCTGCTTAAAGAAGTCTTACCCTTAGTTGGCACTTCTTTACTGGATATGATCAATCTTTCTTTATTGTGAGGATATATACCAGAGTCCTTTAAAGTAGCTGTAATTACACCCCTCCTTAAAAAACCCACTCTGGACCCAGGGGTTTTAGCCAACTATAGAACCATTTCCAATATCCTCTTCCTCTCTAAAATTCTCAAGAAAGTAGTCGCCAAACTTTCTACATAGCGACAGCTTATTTGAGGATTTTCAGTCAGGATTTAGAGTTCATCATAGCACAGAGACATCACTGGTTAAAGTTAATAATGACCTTTTAATTTCTTCAGACAATGAACTTGTATTGTAAGATCTCAGTGCTGCATTTGACACAATGCTTATTCTATTAAAGACTTGAGCATCTAATTGGCATTAAAGGAACCACACTAAACTGGTTTAAGTCCTATTTATCAGATTGTTCTCAGTTTTTACATGTTAACGACGAATCCTCCATAAACACTGAAGTTAGTTATGGAGTTCCACAAAGTTCTGTGCTTGGACCAGTTCTATTCACCTTATATATGCTTCCCTTAGGCAACATTATCAGGAATCACTCCATTAACTTTCATTGTTATGCAGAGGATACCCAGTTATATCTATCAATCAAGCCTGAAAAAATTAATCAATAATCTAAATTACAAGCATGTCTTAAGGACATAAAAACCTGGATGAGCTGCAATTTTCTGTTAAACTCAGACAAAGTAAAGATATAGTTATTACCTTGGACTCCAGCACCACTGTCAGGAACCTTGGAGTTATCTTTGGTGAGGATATATCCTTTAACTCCCACATAAAGCAAACCTGTAGGACTGCCTTTTTTCACTTGCGTAACATTGCAAAAATCAGACACATCTTGTCACAGACAAATGCAGAAAAACTAGTTCATGCATTTGTTACTTCTAGGTTGGATTACTGCAACTCCTTATTATCAGGCTGCCCCAATAAGTCAATTAAGACGTTACCATTCAGCCTCTGCTAATGGGTGAGAAGCTGCGGGTGGTGGGTGTTGACGACACTATGATCTCCTGGATTACTGACTACTTGACAGGCAGGCCACAGTTTGTCCGTCTGGGCAGTGTCCTGTCTGACGTGGTGGTCAGTGATACAGGAGCTCCACAGGGAACTGTGCTTTTTCCCTTCCTCTTCACCTTATACACCACTGACTTTCAGTACAACTCTGAGTCATGTCACCTGCAGAAGTTTTCTGACGAATCAGCTGTTGTCGGGTATATAAGGGAGGGAGATGAGGGTGAGTACAGGACACTGGTAGACAACTTTGTAGAGTGGTCCTAACAGAATCACCTGAGGCTGAATGTCAACAAGACCAGAGAGATGGTGATCGACTTCGGTAGGAA